AAAATAGTAAAGATTGTAAGATTGTATACATTGATTAAAAAAATAAAATAGGAAAGATTGAAAGATTTATGCTCTATTTAAAATTTTTATTATAAAATATGTTTTAAAATAAATTATCATCTAAAATATTATATTATATATTAAAAACATGTTTATATTAAATAAATTAAACTTGATTTTTATACAATTTAATATATCTATTTTTTATATTTTTATTAGTATTAAATTATTATAAACTATATTTTTAGGATTGTAGTTTTAATGAAACATATAAAAAATATCTATGATAAATAAATAAGTCATTTTTAAGACATGTATTTTTTTTTAAATTAAGTTCATACCTACTAAATTATAATATAATATAGTCTAATCTAACTTATTTTCATTCTTAATCATAATCATAATTATAAAAGCTTGTAAAAAATAATTATAATATATATTTATACTTTTAAAAATTATATGTAAAATTTTTAATATTATTAATATATAAATAAGTAGTGCCCCACTATCTAAAATTTCTGGATCCGTCACTGCATATGTGCATATAACACACAATGAGATATACGATTTTAAAACAACCTTTTCTATAGTCCTATGTTGATCAACACAGCTCAATAATATCATGCCTAAATGCCCAAAGTATTCTTAACATTCATCATCTCAACAACACAACAATATCATGTAAATTCAACATAGTTACACAACCAACATACATCTCACAACTCACAATATACATCTTAACTACACTTTCAACTCTTAACCATCATTCATCTCCAATTATCATCATATAATAAATAAACAACATTTAACAACTTAAACAAGCAACACTTATACATATTATTTTCATACTTAACAATGCATCAACCTAATAACATAATTTCATTCAGAAATCAGCACCTAACATCACACAACCAACGTCTGATACCGTCTAGGTGAACTCTCTATCTCACCCACGCTTGACCCTACACAACTCGTGCCTACCATGGAGAAGGTAGAGGTCCTTGGGACCTCATGCTAGGCATGGAAAAGTCTTACACCCAACCTCATTTCATGTAAAGAGTCTCTACTTGACTCACGTTCAATGTCACTATACTAACACTCGGTGTCATCCAAGCAAATAGTGTTGGCTTGATCACGCTGGGCTCCACTCAAGCCGAAGTCCAATGTCCTAAACTAGAGACTTCCCTGTATTGTCACGTCATGTGCCATTCAAATAATGTCGAACGTTATTTCAACCTAATATGAGTCTCTCTCCTTACGCCTAACACTACCAACCCTACACCTAACACTACCAACCCTACACCTAACACAACAAGATAGAAAGTCTCATGTTGAAACGATGCCTAGCATTTTAAAAACGCATTCGACATGACAAGTAATTTGTACTTATACATATCACGAATTTTGCTAAATTCATCTAAAACTCAGCCTAAATCACACATGCAATACAATAATATATACATATATGTTATATATAACTCACATACGACATTATTTTCAACATGTAACACATAATTCAATATAATCAATTTTCCTCTTCATGAACTCGAATCCAACTCTCATTTGCAACCCACTCTGATTTGATTAACTTAACCATGAATCTCAATGGAATTCATACAACATACAACTCATACATCACTACACAACTCAGTTACTCAATCAAAATCAATAAATCCAACTTCCCTTACCTCAAGTTCAATCCAAAAAATGAGGAAGAAGAGAACCCTAAAACTCCACACTACCACAATCAACAAATCTAATAGTTGGATTCAAGTCTCTAAGCACTAGAATTCATCAACAAGACAACGCAATAAGATCAGGTAAAAAGTAGGAGAAGATTTAGAGAACAAAGAAGCTCGTGAACCAAAGTCCTTCTCTCTAGAATCCTCTCTAAGTTTCTAATGAATAAAATTTATGAGACTCTATTTAAAATAAAACCTTATATACTCTTTCTCTTAGGGCCTAACAAATATTTTAATATTTATAGTGATTTATTGATAGTGAAAAAAACTTTATAATTATAATATATCAAAATTAAACTCGTAATAATTTTTCTTTCTATTTATAAGAAAGTACACATTTTAGTTCACAAGGATGAGTTGCCCGTGTTGAAAAATGGAGAGATAAGTCCACATATGGTAGGTGAAGTACTGAAGTAGTGCCAACCATGATATATATATATATATATATATCTTCCCACAGATCATGGACTGCGACATATAGACGAATAATGTTAGAAAAGTCGCTGAGGTGCGCTGAATTTAATTTTTTTTATTGAATGGGGAGGAAAGTAAAAATTTAGAAGTCATTCACTAACTTAATTATTTTGGGGGCTCTACAAGAAGTTATTCAGTTCAACATCAAAGATGTGCAGGATATGGGCCAATGGTGGGATGATGAAAGAATAGGCCCATTTGGGCCTTACTTGTGAGTGTGCTATTGAAAAATATACAATTACAAGTACAACAACAAAGAACTATTTAAATGTTAATATAGTCATCCTTTTTAAGTTTAATAGAATTTGAATATAGGGATTTCTTGTTGGTACCCAACATTGGGTAAATTTACCATTAATCTCTATGATTTATCGTTTTAAATAGAAAACCTCGCTTTTTACAAATGCGATCCTTCTTTGTCATAACATTGAAATATTTCAAAAAAGACAGACTGAATATAGTTGCAAGAAAATGTTGTAACGTCCTGGTACGGACACAATTATTTCTTAGAGCTTGTATTTTTAGATTTAGGTACAAAAGAGAGGAAATAGTTTATGAGTCCTAATAAAACAAAGCATGGAGGTTTGTTTTGCCTTAAGAGGATACCTTTTTTCGGGTGAAATAGCATATTCCTCATAGAAAAGAAATGGACGAATGAGTCAAGTAGAAGCTGAGACCCTCGTGAGCTTTGTCTCACTAACACAAGCAAAGATAATATAACTCGTGAAGAGGAAAAAGGAAAGAAAAAAAAAGAGAGTACTAGTGGATCCGAATTCTGAAATGTGGTGAACCATTGCCTTCCAACCCAAAAGATGTAAATTTTGGAACCCACAAGGTGTCCCAATTGCACGTGAGCCACTACCATGGTTCAATGTGGAGGTGACACCTTCTTGACACACTCACAAGCATCATCAATAAAATGGACCACTATAATATATATAAACCATTGCCTCGTGCATGTGCCCAAAAGCTACTATCCCCCACAATATATATGGATTCAAAAATAAATAAAAAATCATAATTAATTCTTTGCTTGTACTCTTTCTATGCAGGATCTATAGGCAGCTTCAAAAGAAAGAGATTCGACCTAATAATGCTTCAATTTTTTTGTTGTCTTTGTGTTTTTAATTTTATCCTTTTTATTTTGTTACTAATGCATGCTTAGTTGTTGGTTAGTTGAAACAAACCCATCTTTCAGTCTTGTTTTCCTCTGAGATGACCCCACAATTAGATCTTACGCCTTTTCTCTCACTTTTTAAGTTTACAAATCACCATCATTTGAGAAATTGATGGATTTGGATTATGATAGATTGTCTTTTAAATTGGAAGCAAAACCCAATAATTTTTTAGTACTTGCAATCGTCATCATCCTTCTTTTTTCTTTTTTTTCGCTTTTCGTTTCTTACTTTTCAATTTACTTCATGCGATCTTCATATTTCAATTGGCTTTTGCTCTAAATTAAATGCTTAGTATCGTTAAAATTAAACATGATAATTAAATCAAAATTGGTAAATACATGTTCGATTTTAATCAGATAAACTCCTGCCCCGCTATATTCATTTGGAGATCGTTGATATATTTATTTATTTTTAGTTGGAGTGGATTGAACGCAAAAAAAAAAAACGAAAAAAAAACTCAATCAGTTCTTTATTTGTAGAAAAATTATTTTAAATATACATTATAGTAATTTATTATTTAATTTTTAAAAAATCACCTCTCTATCTATACTATC